AATGTTATAAGCTTGCCCAAAACACTGAGGCATCTATCTTATGGTGTTAACCGAGGGTTAGATTAAAGCAGAATACAGTATCGTATTCGAACGTGCTGCATGCCGCAGTGTGTATTTACATTCATGTTGGTACGAGCATCGCATTATTGTCAACTTAGGAGGCCTTTTGCCATTAATGATTCATCAGTGAATGCTTATGCTACATTCAGCCTCACTATCACTGGGCTTTCACTCGCATTGAAAGTTGAAACATCCGCTGCTGCATGGACAGTACACCGCTGACCTATCTGGTTTTGCAGCTCATGATATTTATACATTATCTAAATGTCATATTTACATTTGAATAAAGCCTTTTCATAGTCACTGCCGGATAATGCGAAAGAATCATGTCATTTTGCAATACTTATTATCAATGATGAGAGGCTGAATAATGTTCACCCCATTTCAATCTCCTGCTGAACGAAGGCTTCCGCATGCATTGTTGCCGTTGGTGTTGTTTGACCATACTTCACCACGCTGGTCACTATGGGTTCGTGAAGGGGGAGGCAGGACCGGGTACAGATATCACTCGCCACGGACATGAGCCATGGCTGGGTACCGACTCGGACTCGCGTGGGTTGTCTCTGAATTCCATCAGCTGAGAGCCATGTTGGGCGTATTGCAAAATGTGTGTTTTGGGTGTCCCTGCAGGGGATTTGCAGAGATGAGAAAGTGAGTTACAGTGCTGCTCATGCTTGGGGGTTCCTGGCTCAGTAAAAGCAAAAGTGTCTCCCGCTCCAAATTGGCAACGGAGGTACGTGCATCCGTATTTCGTAACCCTGAGCCACTGGTGGAAACTCCACATTCCCATGGCAGAGGTCAGTGTCCCCATAGGATGACCACTTTGTTTACAACTGAGAGTGGTATTTCGTTTCATTGACCCCAGAGGGATGATGATAGGTTGACTTGACCCAGGCTGACTAAGATTTTAAAATTACAATTCTTAAGTTGTGAGTCGAGCATTCTAATAACAGCACCACCTGGCCACATTCCACACATACAATAATCATAAAATAATAATAAACAGCCGCTTGTCAACCCACTCCTGGATGAAGACCTCCTCGCACTGTGTCTTGGGGTTTATTTGACCATACTTCACCATGCCAGTCACTTTGGGTTGGTGAATATGTGGGGCCCAAGACTATTTCATGTCATTCACCACTGATGTGTGCTGTGATCAGGATTCGAAATCGGTTTGCTGTGTTCATTGCGCAGTGCGTTAACCACTGCGCCACCTCTCTCCCGTGCAACTAACGATCGTTTCTTGGAACAGGCACAAGTGCATAAAAGGCCGCATGAGCCACACCGTCCGTGTGTCCGTGTCAGCCACGCAAGAGCTTGCAGTGGTTGCCTTTCCTCAAAGTATAATTCCGCTTTGAGTGCAAAGTTTTGTACAGCGGTGTGCATCGTCCCCATTCGGCGCATCAATTGTATTGCGTTCTGGCGCATTTGAAAGACGCTTGAATTGTTTCATCAAAGTGACTTTGCAATGGAGTCATGGCACTGACCCGCTCTTGTTAACTCTGCCCAGAAGATGATTATACACCTCCGTGGTCCCTTCATGGGTAAATCCACAAAGCACTCCCCATAATCTGGAGAACAAACTCGACTGCCGCAATAGGAGGTCTGGCTTGGTCACAGTCTCTGCAGGGGAGGCTGGCCAGCAGGGCCGAGGTTAATGTTTGATTTGAGCCAGGTGAGGTGTTTACATTAGTAGCGAGAAGCATAGCGCAATAGCTGCCATGACGGCCGTTCCACGTATGACATGCCCCCGCCATCTGATGACATTGTCATTTGTATTGACACTTGAGTTGTTCAAGGGGAAGATGTGTGATGTTGATGCTGGACTGTTCAAAGCGGTCATCTCGCGGCATGACCTAGGCTTCTAAGTCAAACCCTAACCCATTTGTATGCTGCGCTTGTGCCGCTCTCGTTTGTACGAGCGATGTGTTCCTCTGGTTTTTTTTGGTTCAAGAGTTTTCCAATTGCATTTGAGTCTTTTGAAGTAAAATGTACGCGCGCGCGTGTATGTGTGCAGTGGCCAACGGGGGCTCTGGACGAGTGCAAAGGGCTCGTAACCCTTGCACCTTCAATGTCATTACTACAAACTACGTGCAAAAGAACAAACTAAGCTTGTGCCGGGGGGCCCCGGGGGGGGTCGTGCATCTATGACATCTCCTGGCCAAACCACCCACCCCCCACCACCTTGGGGTTCTTCCGGAAACTGCAGAAAACCACTGAGAGTGGCCACGTGGAATGTTCGAACGATCGCTGCAGAGCAGATGCCGCCATTGCTCTATCAGGACCTGGACTGGTACCGCCTAGACACGTGTGGAATATAGGAGGTCCAGTGAACTGGTGCTGGCTCCAGTCATGATGAGGAGTGGACAGTTCTCCACTTGGAGCAGGAAACTGCCAAACAAAAGGGAGGGACTCTGCTGCTGAAAAAAAAGAACGAAAGTGACATGGGAGAGTGGCGTTGAGGTGTGGGAAGCCGTGAGTCCCAGGCTGTTAGCGACTCGCCTCCCCATCAACAGGAGGTGAGGAATGGTGGTGGTGGCGACTTATGCCCCCACCGAAGATGATCATCAGTGGAGGTGCAGGCAAGCCTGATGAGTCAGATGCCTTGTATGACCACAAGCCACGGGTGCTGGCTCAAGTGGCCCCTCAGATGGAGTCATCCTGATGGTTGACTTTAATACCAGAGTGGGTCATGACTCACGCACCTGGGCTCGAGTGATTGGAAGGCATGGGCCAGATCAGCTCAAAAAAATAATAATGGTAGGAGACTGCTAGATTGCTGTGCAGCCCATGGGCTTGTAATCACCAACATGCTGTTCCAGCATGGGTGCATCCACAAAACATCGCAGATGCACGCTAGGTCCAAGCAATAACATCTGCCGGACTAAATAGTGATAGAACAGCGGATGTGGGCCCATGTTCTTGACACCAAAACCGACTGTGGCGCTGATCTGCCCACTGACCATCGGCTTGTCATCTGTAATATGCGCCTGCCATTCTTTCACTGCAGTGATGGGCATCCACCTCGGATCCTATTCAAACCCACAATAACCTAGTCTTGAGTAGCTGATGAAAATTGCAGGTAAGACTTTTATCATTGCTTGTAGCTGGGGTTGTTATTGTCCCCACCTCCTCATATTGCCAACGCGATATGGTTGAAGTTCAGGAGTTTGGCTCACACATCTGCAATAGCTGTATTGGGTACGGAATTCTTGACCTCCCCAGACACGCTGGCCGAAGGAGGAGAAGGCGACAGGCCCGTTCCCACCGTCTACAACATCCCACATCGGAGAATTAGGAATATAAAAATGAGTTAAACTTCTGTGCCAATATGAGGCATGGCCAACGTTATTTTGAATATTAAAACACGTACCTCAGAATGCAAGATTAGCTGTGAAAAAGAAACATTTGCATCAGAGATCTGATACGATGCAATGAGATGAAAGCACAACTTGTTTGCACGGTCGTCTCCTTCACAGTGGACGTTGAAGACACCGTGTCGGCGTCATGATCCACTTTTATTTATTTACTTAAGTATCACTCCCTACTGAGAAACTACTGCAGACGATGTATGTGAAACATTGCGCGTTCGGGAGAGGCATGGACTGGAAGCATTTTTTTTTACTGCCGTCAGATAAAGCATCTGATGAGCAGCATGCGCCACCACGCCCTCGTGCGCAAGTGGGACTTGCTGATTTCATTTATCCAACATGAGCATCAGACCTTTTGACACGTCTTATGTGTAAATATGTATACGGGTGTTGATAAATTAGGATGTATCATCTCGTTTATGGTTTGGTCCTGCCTGCAGCATACCGCCAGGCATCGCGCAGATAAGATAGATGGTGCATATTCAAGATGTGTTACATAAAAATGACGCAAGACCATAAATAACATGCGCGTCAAGCATGATTCATTGCCAGCGCAAGACATTTTAGGTCATTGTCTTCATACGTACGGATGGGCACTTTGCTTTCCTGAAGTAATTTGAAGGTGGCTTCATTGTAATGATATGTTGTTGCAAAGGTTTACGTTTGATCTGCGTGCTTTTCATGTGCAACATAAAAATATACGAATATCGTGTGAGTTATGCGACAACCATGCTTACATTTCAGAAACTGCATAGCATGTACTTTTCAATTAACAGTCGACGAGATCATCACATTTCGTCATTGTATTTAGTCGTAAGGGACACTTCTGTGGTGTAATGTACTTGCAATCCAGAGGGTTGCTGATTCAATCTCCTTGTGTGGCAGTTGAAAGGAGAATGTATCTTAAATTTACCGATAAAAATCTCGAAATTAGTCTCGTGGTTCTTTATCATTTGGGCTCCGCTTAGGATGATTTCCAAATGTATTGTTGTATTGTTGCATTTGTACACATGAGCGGAAGCGAGCGTATACAGAGACAAAGATTTGGATCAGATATGTAGCATTTTTACCCACATACTGTACACGTAGTATTAGTTGATATTCCTTTAGGTTCTGAGCATCCAGTCTGGCACACCAACCTTGCAATGCCTTGAATTGCAGTCGGCCATGTGTGGCAGTATAATGATCCAAATAAGCTAAACTTGATACATTACTCACAAGTTGCTTGATGTGGTAGCCACATTTAAAAAAGACATGGCCCACCTACTGACTGGCAGACTCTTGCCCACTTGCTGGCCAGCGAGTATTTTAGTTTTTTTATACTGGGGGTTCCCTGCCACAGGGGGCCTCAAGCGCTTCTGCGTGGGAGGTGCGGCATAAATATTAAGTAATGGTGGCATAATCTAAAAGCAACAGTGGCTATCACTAGACTGGCCTCCAGTAAAGGAATGTGCAGTTTCCATGACTGTTCATGGGTGCCGGTTGGAGATCGGCGCTGCCTTGTGCCCGATCGAGCGGGGAGATGCCACTCGCGCTGTTAAACCTCTTGCGCTGTCGTGTTCCCCGCAGGACCTGCTTTCCACACCTGCCAAACTCCTGCAGGCGTTCACCTTCCAAGCCGTAACGCCGAGCGCGTGTGATCTGGCCATCCACCTCATTTTCTTCGACATGCAGGCGCTCGTGAGCCTTTTGGCCATCGAAGAGGCCTTGCCAGGCAAGCCTAGCTTGCCTGTAAAATTTGAGGCCAGCGCGAAGCCACGCAAGCATAGCCGGCTGCTCAAGAGGGGAGCCTCGGAGACCATCCTGCACCTCTGTGAGAACTTCAAGTTGTCCGGCGACAAGGAGGAAAGGGATGACAGGGCCAAGCAGCACCAGCATAGCGCGGAGCCGCTCGCAAAGGTGGACGATCGGTGCAAGTTGATGGCGGAGGCCCACGCGCGGCTCTTCATGTCCTGCCTGCACCGGTGGGGCCTGGATCCCGAGCTGGACAAGCTGTGCACGGGTCGCCTCGGGCTGCTGAGGCCTCAAATGGCCGTCTCGTTCGTGCTGCTCTCGCAGTGCGGCCACGCCATGGCGGTCACTCTGCCGGGCTGGGACCTGCTGGAGCAGAGGCCCCTTCGCACGGTTGGGTTCCGCGCCGGTGCCGAGGCCTCGCGACGACGGGAAACGGGGGGCGGCCAAGGGTGCACGCCACTGTCAGTGTCGACACAGAGGCAACTGTCGGTCATCTCTCTCGCAAGCACTCTGGTGGGAATGTGCACCACCAACCTCTATGAAAGTGTCCGGACGAGCAGGTGAGGGCACGGAGCGTGTTTTATTTTAAGATGCGGGATCATTCGTTCGTAAAAACCCCACTGAATTCTAATAATCCTTTGACGGTAGTTTTTATCCCAATGGGAAGTTCGATGTTGTGCAAGCAGTGGTTTCATATCTTGAAGAGGTGAGTGCCAAAATGTTGAATAATTGTATCGCAATTGTTGGGACTCGTGTAGATGCTTTGAGATAGTGCTGCTTTCTCCATGAATTATCTCGCTTGTTTTAATGGAGATGTTTAACTCGACACATTGTGAGGTTTTATGCCGGAAGAGATTGTGAAAGTGGATCCATCCTGATTGTAGAACCATACAGTAAATTCAGTCATTGTGCATTGACTGTTTTGCTACACAGTTGATCCCAGACAAAAGACGGTAAAAGTGGATTTGCTTGTTATCGTTTATGATTGACCAACACAACATATACAATGCTCTGCAATTCATAGGATGCCTCTGGCATCCCAGCATTTACTCCGTGATTGTTAACAATGCACAGCGGCACAATGTACTTTGTCACAAAACAACAACGAGGCCAAGTCACAGGCTTAAGCGACAAACCTCGTTCCGCTTTAGCGGATCGCAACGTGCTCCGACAATTTCCGCAAGAAAAGCACCCGCGTGTCTTGACTTTGACTGTCAGCCGAAAAATACATTTTTTTTGGGTTTCCTATTGGTGTAGCCTGGAAAAAACCGGCACATTACGGCTTTCCGTGGAGAGATAACGGCTCCCAAATTGGCTAGTGACAGTAATGGGTTGGAGCTGAGGCCACAGCTGGCTGTAAATAAAAAAAAGAGGGTGGGCTAATAACAGACCCGTCAGCACACGATAATGACGAAGTGAAGAGATGGCAGATTTTCTACGTTCAGTCCTTGAATCACCAGCCATTAGACTGCTGTTGGGGTGCTTGAGTGAAGTGGGGGCAGGTGACGGCTGCTGAATGGAGTAGAAATGTTGCTCAATTTGTTTTTGTTGGGAGTGTCCTTGTCGTGTGAGCTTCCATTGTTGCTGTTGCAGCCATCATTGGATGCCCATTTTTCCCCCCCTCCTGTAATGGACCATTAGACGGGCAGATCTGTTTTTCTTTCCTTTGGTCGCTGAAAATGGGAGGGCTGCCCTTTCGCTTGGCATACAGACAGTCCTGTCATTTAGATTATTTCAGTTTAAGTACCTTTTGAAAGAGAGTTGACCCAAATTGCTGTAATAATCATTATGTACAAAACAGACTGTCAACTTGATGTAGCATAAGGAAATTGAATTGCTTTTTAAGGCCACGTGTGTGGCATTTTATCTACAGTTTTAACAAAGCTAAGATCCATATACAGTAAGGTGTCAGAGTGGCATTTGTCACGCTTTAAAATAATATTTCTTAAATGCGTGCCACAACAGCTGTTTGAAATAACCTTGGCATGACCAAAGGAAGGGGTAACTGCTGGTTTTAGCATTTAAATGTATGGCTTTATATTTCTATATATTAAACTCAAATGAGTATATTGCATTCATATACATTCACATATTATCGCCAGAGTATATTTCAGAAATGAATAAATATTGAAACAATAACAGTTCAAACTACTTGCATTGCTCAACTAGGTCATCCTCCTCTGACTGTATTGGAGCTGTAAATACCATTTCTACTCAACATATCTCTTATGTCATCAGGGCCGTAAGGATTTGTAGGTAAAGCAGAACCGTTACGTTATCCAGCTTGAGCACGGAAAGCGACGTTTAGCTTTGTTGCCGCGCACATTTGCAGAGATGGGCACGGCGGTGAGAACGAGAACGGATCTCCTCGCGTTGAACGGACAAACAACGCGGGCGCGAAACAAGAGAGCTTGAATAGCGACAAAGAGGGTGGTGAGTGGGCCCTGCACGCACGCACCAGGCCCTGCACCGCCGCCAATTCTACTGCGAGACGTCCGAGTGAGGGCAGTGCTGAGTGTTTTCCACTGCCATGCATGGGAGGGTTTTTTTGTGTGGCCACAGTAATCTTAGTTTCCTCCCACGTGCCAAACACTCATTAATAGTGTTGGCCAAACATCTTAACGCAAGACCCTGCCATTGTGAGATTATAATAATAATAAAATCATGAAGGTGGCCGTGTTGGTCTTTTGTCAGAGTATTGAGCTGGAAACCGTGAAGAATATACGAGGATGTTTCAAATTAATCCAAAAGTGGCCTTCAGACAGGTTGCAATGGGTGTTCTCGAATTGCGCAGTCCAGCAGTCGAGCGCGCCCATGATTGTCTCCAGCTCTCACTATACCCTAGATCTGCTGGCTTTTCTACTCCCTTGGTTTCTATTTTTAAATACCTTCTTTGGATTTTCCTTTTAAAAACCCAATTATATTTTGATTGCATGGTCAGGTTCGTGTCACAATGAATAAGCGTTCTTTCAGAAAGATCTCGGCACCGTGTCACGGCTTGGAACGTCTCCCGGATGATGACGCCATCACATTTCTGTCTCCCCCCCGCACCTCTACATCTTGCTGTCGATGTTCATGGCATAACAATCATATCAACATGCTTGTCCACAAGAACTAAAATACGCCAGGGTGTGCAATTTTTTTTATTAGATGGGTTTTGTTGTACAAAACATTCGTTACCTCGCTGAGGCCATCAACTTAGTGCACACGGGGACCTGGTTTAATCATTGGTGTCTGCCTGTCTTTAAACCGAGGATTTCAGTGGTGCCAGCTCTGCCGCTCTGACCTCTGACCCACCCAGCCACCTCGCGCACAGTTTAGTTTTTTTTCCCTCTCAAATGGAGGTGAAAGAGCGATTTTGTCACCGCACCGTTGCCAGACGTTGCACACATCAACCCGGACGCGCGTTTAATCGTGAGCGACTGAATCCGAGATTTGAACCCAGGATCTCAGTCGGTGTTGTCGGCCCTGCGCTCTGACATGGCTGTTAGCCCCCTGAGTCACCCGGCCACCTCGCGTCCTTCGATCCCCCTCCTGCTCATCATTCAGCTCCTGGCCTCGGCACACCGCCAAGTGCCTTAAAGAGGAAAATCCAGTTCAGCGCTGCACTGACAACAAATGTGCTTCGTATTGCCATCATTGATCACGTGCACTGAGGCCCATGAAAGGATTGTCTCCCCCCCCCCTCGCCACCCCCCCCCCCCCACATAGCACGCTGAAATTGCTCTTGCCATCTATGGCTGTATATGCACCGTTGATTACGCTGCAGACTGGCACCTTGCTGTCAGTTCTGGACATCTTACGGATTAATGCGACCCAATATTTTTCCTCTCTCTCTCTCTTCCCCTTTGTTCTGTACCTGTGCGAGGAGAGGCGCCGCGGCGTGGCGGCACGTGTGATTAACATGCTTTTGGATGCGTTTCTGAGCCGGTTCCGCTTGAATTGTTTAAAAAAATACCTCCCTCAAAATACACCACATAATAGGAATCCAATTCCAATTTTTGGCCGAGCTGCACAGTGCAATCGTTCGTATATATATACACCACGGTATAAAGACCATTAGAATGGTTGCACCAGTTCCACTTAAAAACAAAAATAACAACGGTATCTGGTCTAAAATGTTAATGCCCTGAAATAGAAAAATATATTAAAATAATGTTTAGATTTTTTTGACATATATTGTTAAAACGCACTGGTCTATGTAGTTTCCTTTTGTTTAACATTTTTTTCTAGATGTTCACAAAATCCACAATAGGCAATAAACTACAACATTTCCATGTGCAGCCCTTTGCCAATCCATAGCTGGATAGAGACCTCTCCAAACTGATCATGGGGGTTGTTTTTGACCACAATCACCGTGCTGGTCAGTGTGAGTTGGGAAGGCTGGAAGCATAGATGTGCAAGCATAGAAGTACGGTACAATAATGCATTCCTCTGTACTGCCGATATTTGACAAAACGTGGGTGGTAATGGTGAGGCGGAGGGAATTATGCAGAGGCAGGATGCTTGTGGGTTGTTATTATTATCATCATTATTGTGTTTGTTAACCAAGGAAAACGTTGTTGAGTCCCAACACTAATTTTCAAGATGATCCTGATGATTGTTCACAGTTGGGCGTGATGTTTCCACGTGTAATCTCAAATGAGTAATTTTCTGAATATTTTTCAGCACTGGGATCTTTGACCAATACAGTAAAAAAAAATGTATCTATTGGAGGAAACCAGATAATCCTGAGAAAATGCAGAACAGGGGGAGGACATACTTAACACTGTCAAGTCGGGACTCGAATGCAAGTTGTTCTTGCTGTGAAACACAGGTGTTACCATTGGGCCACCCTGCCACCCAGATTGAGGGCTATAATCTGTTACCGGGCCAAGTATACAGCATAGTCAATGTTTCTATGCGAGTGTATGTACGTGCCTTTGTCTTTGTGCGCGAATGGCCATCGTGTAATGAACCGGATGTCGTCGTGAGTTTTGGTTTGGTGCTTGAGGGCTCAAGGCTTCCTCTTCCCCCTCCAACGTCACGGGCGGAAGTGGCAGAAGGTGGAGAGATTTCCCCGCGGTGTTTTCTGTTAGAAGAGCGCTCACCTGGTGGGCACACCAGGCCTGCGTGTGAACTGGGGGTATTGTCCAGCACGGCCACTTGTGAGAAGTCAAAACGATGTTCCATGTTCAAGCTCTGCCATGTTTCTGACCTTCATAAAAAAGGTCTTAAAACTCAGTGAGGCTTTCCTGCCTAAATCAATGGGATTATCATTATTTTTACATGAGCTGTATTGTGATGCACTTTTTCAAGCATGTTTTGCGGGTATAAATATTCCCCTTTATTTAGTACAAGGGTATAACAATGATAAGCTACATTATTAATGGGCGTGATACTTTCATGAAGTTTTTAACATTTGTGACCAAACCACTTCACTACTTGAGGCTCAGAGACCAAGACTAATCCAAAGAGTGACTTTTGAAAGTTCTGTGTTCACGGCCAAACTTGTATATATTTCCAAATAACTGATAGAGCATTGTTTTACTGGTCCATGCTTAATAGCATTGCATATGTCTTGCTCAAGTGTCAATTCAATTATATCACCAGGCTTGGAAGTGAGAGAAACATGCACGTTGTTTGGAAGAGAATGTTTTCCAAATAATTTAAATATCTCATTAAAATAATAACAATAGTTAAAACAGCAACAACACCAATTCCTTTATTGAAATGAACAAGACTTTATTAAGAGTTTTATTGACTATTTTCTTTATTAATGTCGTAAATAGATGCCATGAACTGGGGGTATTGGCACAAACAGCCCTTTCATCATAACAAAAGTACGTTTTCTTAATTGTTATACAACAAAAATGGTCAGGTATTCTATTGGACCTCTCTTGCTTAACTCATTTTTAGATACTTTAATTAGTGGAAAAAAGTTAACCGAGTCATTGTTGCTTCGCATCGCTTAAGATTGCCAGAGCTTGCAGTGATTTTTTTTGTAGAATCATTCAATGTAGATAACTCGACATAATTATTATAATCGTTTTGGAGGATATATATTTCACTAAATCAGACAATGTGCCTTCTTCATATATGTCTCTCTAAGTAAAACGAACGTTACACAAACCATCAGCCTCACAGCCTTCTAGGAGTGCATCATTTCAGCAGAATTGATTCAATACAAGAAACCGTTCACAGCTTCAATCAATGCTGGTGAACTGCCAGATGCTACAGGCAAGAACCCTCTCCTCAATATGTGTCCTAGTTTGATGCAAAATTACATCATACAAAACTTAAAATAATCATTAGAGTTGTGGAGAATATAAAAACAGTGTTTGTAAATTATACAAAAAACACGAGCCTTATATGTACAACAAACATCACTATAAAAAATATCATGGATAAAAATGATTGTCTTGAATTGTATGAATGTATGTCTCTGTTGCTGTCCTGTTAGGCCTGAACCAGGCCAATGTCAGCCTGCCAAGCCTCCTGGCTTCCCTGCATGCACAGCCGGTGCTCATGGAGAAGCTGATCAAGCACTGGGAGGGCGACCTCTTGGAATGGGTAGGCGTCCCTTTCTGTGGTTGCGTTGCAGGATTTTGTCTTCAATGTACTACGCGGTAATTCAAACCCACTCGTGATTGATTTAACCATATCTGGTCAACTTATTGGTTCCATGGAATTGTGGATTGAATCGGATTGGTTCAGAATGGGATGTTGCTCGTCATCCAAATTATAAGACCCAAGTAAGCCCAAACCGAATGCTTTTAATTGATACTGTTGAATGAAGGTAGCTGACGTCTGCAAACCTGTGTAACATTTATATACAGCAGATGCATGGGTTAGCCATCACATTGCACCCGAAGTCACGAAATAATAACTGCCTAGAGTTAACATTTGGAATTGGTCCCCCTGGCATTACATTCAATAAATTGTTGATTTGATTCCTGTTAGGCTTGATCAATTACTCTCAGCTAAAGATGCAAATTAGTATTGTCTCGATAAAATAGCGAAATAAAGTTTTATTGTCTTCCAGGTAAAATTTAGGAAAGCTGTATGTAGAACTCCCCCCGCCCCCCGTCATCACAATGAAGAGCTACCTAATTGTGTCTTTTAGTTCTTTAATCAGTCACGTGAAACTCTGCAATCTTATTCAGTAAACAGGCACAGAGTAAACGGCAAGCCTGATGCTACATGTCAGTGGCTATGGAGAATGTGTAAGTCTTGTGTGACTCCATCTCTAGGTTATTTGTAAATATAAATGTGTAGCCCTGTTAATGTAGGCAGTACCTAAGGGGGAGGGGGACAAATTGCTGTGCTTAGACAACAATCACATGTTTGAGACTTAAATGATGAAACATTGTAAATGCTATAAAACTGTGGGTGATGTCACAGCCTATATAGTACCTCCCTTGCAGAGTTCTTGACATAAATCACACATCAGTGACCGAGCATTTACTTTTCTATTTGGGGAATCGGCCAGCCCGTTCAGAAATCTCTGATTTAAAAATGGCTTGTCATGGGCAGGTGCTTATGCCCATCACTCAAAAACCTGGATGTGCAGCACTCACTTGGGCAACACTGTCGAACCCCATTGTACACACTCGTGCCACGCTGTTTAGAAGCCTGGGCCCATGTCAAGTTGATTTATTCATCTTGGCTTTGCACTCGCTTTGGCTGTCCACAAATTGCTGAGTGACAAGTATTCAGTATCGATAGGTGGCCCGCGGGCCTGTTGCCAATTTCAGAGCGGGGAGCCTTCTACAACTGAGATACTGGATTTAAGTCGCAGGCACACCCCCTCCTCCTCCTTATAAACCGTGCTTTCACGAGTAGCAGATTGACAAAACTTAAAACGAAACAATGTTTTATTTTACCAGGTAAGGCCCACTGAGCTATGTAGCTCTTTTCCAGAGGCCACCTGGCCACAAATCATAGCCTAATGAAGTGGCATATCACGTGGAAATGTATAGCAATCAAATACTCTAAATGCATGTGTCTAAATGTGGAGGGAAAAACCGGACGACCCGGAGAAAAATCCACACGACCACGGGGAGAACATGCAAACTCCAAATATAGAGCAGGCGTCAGGGTCAGGATCGAACCCACGACCTCCTGTATACAAGGCGAGGTAGTTAACATCTCGCCAAAGCAAATGGAGCACCAAGTACCTTGGCCACGTCAAACAAATAAAAATACCCCAGTAAATTAGTTTTTATTTATGTATATTAATGAGGCCTAGTCCCACTTTAGGTGCATCACACTTGCTCGCCAGTTTCTTTGCCAAAATTGTACATATGAAAGTGTAAAGATCAAGATGTCATCGAAACCAAAATGCGTTGATGCCACCGCAGCTTGCCAATGCTTTTACCCCTCTGAGAGATCCCAAAGCTGCTGTGTCGTAGAGACACGCAACCTCCAACACCTGCCCTGACAGCCTCCCAACATCTTGTCTTAGATCTTCCCCTTGGTCACCAGATTGTTCATACAATCGCCTGCAACTAAATTGCTAAAATAATTGCTCTTTTTATGTAGCTTCTAGTGCACTGTTATTCCTTGTACAAGCTATACCGATGTGATGAATCGTGATGATAGAAACCAGGTGAATTGCCCCTCTGCGGAGAAACAAAGTACATAAGCTAGTGGGCTGTGTTAAGTGTTGTAAGTGCCGTGGGAACCAATTCTGTGGGGTTGTTCCCCGATGTTGTATGAGGCTGTGCTCTCTGCAGAGCATCCTAAGCGAATATTTGCTTCGTGCCTAGGCGCCTGATAGTACATATGGGGGATATACTTGGGGATAAAATAAAGTTAAACATTTCCCCCTAGAAGGTTACCCTTGGAAATTGTAAGGGCTGTCAAAATAAATCCCATGTTAGCTTTCAGTTTGTGGAGCTCACACTGTGTACGAGGGTCTTGACTAAAATAAAATAGATTGCATATGTTTATATATATATTAAAAAAATGTAAGAGAGCCACTGTGATAGACACATCTTATAGGCTGTGTAGAGTTCATAACAGTCTCATATGAAGGTATGGGTACATGAAATGTGACACCCTGAGGACGAGAATGATTGAATTCTCAACTCTAAACATCATTGCATTTAATTTGGAAAAAAAATCTCATCAAATATAACATCCTTCAAGACAATTTTTTTAACGCAAATACGACCCAAGCAAAACATTGATATGGAGCCAGATAAGATGACGTTCCGAAAAATGTGGTTCTGAAAAAGAAGCCTTCAGATGCGCCCGGCAAGTAAAGATTACATTTCGCTTCACTTGTTTTAGCTTTCCAGATTTATTTTAAAAAATGTTCGGCGAGTCCAAGGCAATAGTAATGACAAATTTTCTTATTTTAGCCTTGCCCGAGACGGAGTGTTCCCCTGCAGTGCGGTTGGCCCATGTGGGGGGATGATTTCTGTAACAGTCCAGAGGGACTGTTGCCATGACAGGCAGTCAAAAGGGGACAATCTGGTTATATAGTCATTTCAGACAAATAATTAAATGCATGACAACGTCAGTATTAATAGTACCATGCGGACATATCATTCCACACCTGCTTCCTTGTAAACTCGATTGTACATCATTTGTGAATTCATTTTCCTGTCCGTAAATTTCTTGCAACTGATTAAATGTGCTTGTTTCTTTCCACACCCCACTCCAAATGTGCATTATATGGTCCCGGCTTGTTTTCAGCAATGTTGCTTATTTGAGATAGCTGCTGTATGCTGGCAATAGGAGCACATTACATATTTTTGGTAACAAGGCACTTTTTGTTGCCATAATTTGGTGAGGAAAATGGTAAAATTGCTGGTACGTTCTGCTGGTTTGGATATTTTATTTTCACATATTTTGGCAGAAAAGCAGTGTCATCAAATGCATGGGCTTTTGAGAATAATATTATTAATAATTTTGTCAATCTCCTGGTATTTAACATTAGAGTATAGCTTTTCTAAGATAGGACTATACTGTTGACTGTGGCAGTGATTTGAATTATTAATAATAATAATGTTAGAATCAGCAGGAATGAGTCATTCATATCGTTTGGACAGCGTCATCGGCTGACGTTTAAAAATCTGTCCCCGGTGGTACTTGTGGAGCACATTCGTGTTGACACACAGCCTCTGTGTCGTCGTGCACACATGTTTATCACATGTTTATCACATGTTTATCATTCATATACATCGCAGGGGGTTTGTAAACAGTCAGTGCTCTCCTCTTAAGAGTAATTTCTCCTCATTCACAATTTGCATCTCCATTCACCTGCATTTCTTTTCAACGCAAACCCCCCCCCCCCCAAACATTTGCTCATGTCCATAATAGTTAGATCGCGTAAATATATAAATGTGTCGTTAAACCCACCACCACCCGACACAGCCAACTAGTAAGGTTTGTCACATAAACAGAACGTGCCAATTCGTTACTAGTACAGCACAGCGGTGTGTTGGAGAGCAAAGCCACAACATTTACATTCTAAGTACGACGTTTCGCCATTAATTACAACTAGCTTCATCAGGCGACAGCCAGATTTGTGGAAAAATCCTCCTGTTTCCTTCCTTAAATAGAGGCATAGATGTGATGACGTCACTTGTGTGCTCTTTTTGCGTGAAGTGGGGGGTATTGATGAATACATATACATTACTATGGGTATCTATTGCCGTTTGGGTTATTTATATGGTAACCAAAGTACATTGTGCATGCACATTATGCAAGCCCATTGTTCTTGTACCTGCTGTAGATTGTGTGAACTAAAATATCGATAAAATAGCCGTACCAATGGTAATCCCTATTGAAGTATGGATGATATTGGTCGCGAAAGCCTACGTGTTAAATTTGCTCATGTACCGAAACCTTTTGTTTCGTGGATCTACAGAGCACGCTCCAAAAGAGAACCATGCAGGCATTATGAAACGTACATTGTGATTGTTACAAGAATAATAATGCTCACAATGGAGGGAAAAGTCACAATATTAACGACATTTTGTACACATCAATGCATGCGCGCCATTGCAAAAATCAATACATTCCTGCATCCTCGGGTTGCAGTGGGTTTTTCTGTTTTTGTAGAGTATAAGATGGTGCAGCCTTGTATTCTAGAACAAATGGAATTAAAATTACCCTTCACTTTTTACACATATCACTCTCTTATACAATATGCACACGGTACGTAGCTTGCAGTTATCGCTTGTAAACAAAAAGCTGCTTAGCTCAGTGGCCCTTTCCAGTCGAATTCATTAATTTCGAGCATGGGCTTGTATGCTGATGTTTGCATGCATGCACACTCATACAATTAGATACACCCATGGGTAAATAAATACAAATAATTATCAGATGTTACATGGATCATATAATGTACTCCTACACATTGCCTTGTCCTGTGCAGATTGGCCCCTGCCATAGGGATGTGGAATTTCCACCGCTGCCTTAGGGTCTCCAGCGGGGATGAGCACTGCCCCCCACGCTCTCTCAAGCAGGGAGACACCTTGACTCTTTTGTGGCACATCTCGCAAAGTCTCACAAATTGTGCCACTGTCCAGTTATGAAGTCAATAATTTCGCTCTTGCATTCGTTTCACGACTTATGATGGATGCAGTGCTCCTTGAATGACAACACGGAAATGGTTCATTTGATCTGTTTACTTAAACCACAGCTGTGTAGTCCCTTGTGGAAAGTCCTATTGGATTCCAATGAGATATTGAATCTGATTCCTTGAGGACATCCCATCAGCATTAGTAACTTCCACTCATAAAATAATCCTATAGCAGCCCATGGAGGCAGCCTTTGGTTCGCATCAGAGCAGAGAGAGCTTTCCGTGTGCATATTTAGGAATCCCGTTGACTTTGAATAAATAAAAAAAAATGCAATTTTCATTTTGGTGTGACCTCTCTAATTGACGGTCAAGGCACTGCAGGTGCAGGGCTTACGACGGCCGCTGATTTGTTTTATTACTTTTTTTGTTCCGAAGAAAATGTGTACAGTGCGAATGTTTTCTCTCTGCTATTGTTTCACTCAAGATCTTTCTAGGAATAGAAAATTGATAGCTCGGTGGACTCTCCTCTGGCAATAATGCAATGCAATTTAGTCTTTGCATTTATATTGCATATAAATATGACCGCATCTCAAGAGGCTGCGAATCGACCTCACCCGATTAATAGGCGACGATTGACAGTGTGGCGTGCTCGACGTGATCCCCGGTGGCCGGCCCGTGCGGTTGGGTGTGCTGAGTGCAGGCGAGTGGTGAGGCTGGCCCCGTGCAAGCGTGCGACCTGGCTTTGGCCGACAGGCCGGCGCGCCACACTCCCGCGGAAGCCCGTGCAGATTACCCTCACCCCGCAGCGCAAGACGGCGCCTTGAGTGAGTGCTCGCGCTTCTCCCTACGACAATGCGATCGTGGATTTATGCTCGGCATCTAAAGGCAACCGCACCTCAAGGCACCTATATTTATTTATACCCACGCGCTCACATTATTATGCACGTTTATGCGAGCACACACGTGTGCATCAGCTGCCATTCACCACTCTGTGGTGGTGGTAGTGGCGTCACCACAGGACCTGTGGACCTATGCCAATAATTGCCATCGGTATCACCTAGAGTGGCAAACGCCGACGATGATTTTCTCAAAAAATTAATCTCAAGATTACAGTATGTATGACAGCACAGTCACTGCGGTAGGATTGTTTATGAAAAAAGTGCTGTAAAAGAAGGGTTCCATAGTTGGTTTGACGGAGAATATTCTAAAGGGTAAAAAGTGCTTTTATAACAGCTACAGAATATGAAGATAAATAGGAAGTTTCTATAAAGCAGAAGGTATACTGGATACGGTACACTTAATGCTCATGGTGGATACTGCCCATGACGGATACTGAATTTAGTTCATTGTTATTATTCATCTGGGCAAAGAAAACATTCTCAGGCAAGTCTTCGCTGGTAATGTAAGCTACATGTATCAACCAACAAAAACGGTCTCACCCAACACCAGCGTTGCCTGCTCATGCCACTATAGCCAGGTGTTTAGTCTCTATAAAATGTGATTAAAAATGTATATTATTTTTTTAATAGATTGTCAGTCCACGGATAGAGGTTTACTAGGCTCGACTGGAATGTTTCAAGCTGGTGCAGGTGTTCGCACAAGGAAAGTCTGCGTGTCTCAGCAATGACAAAACAGAGGGCATGACTGTACGCGCATAAATAGTTGCTGCTTTTGTGTGCAATGCGATGCCAGCTCGCACAGCATTAGAGAGTCAATAAAAAGAATGTGGCTCGTCACATTTTAACATCTGTGACGATGACCCAGAGCTAGCTACAAACACCACTGCCCAAGAAAGCAAAATCATCCATGCTCTCCACAACCATCTCACCACTCATTATTAGGGGAAGCGTGAAGTATTCAATATCATATCATGATGTGACCCGTGCAGATTTTTTTACTTTGGAATAAGCAATGACTTTCCGTTAATATGTATTGAAAAGCTCTTAATCAGCATAACATTGTTCATTTCCTCAGACTGAGCAGCAATAACTTGGTCATTATTTTACATATGATTGATCTGGAGTAAGGAAGCCATTCCAATGATAAACCATGGACAGCCTCTCGAATTAAATGGTCAAAATTATGTTAAATAATGTATAAGTCGGAGGGTATGTTTACCATACCCCCATCGGGAAAGACCCAGGCTCCTCAACACATTACTATGCATGAGACTCAGTGGGCTTTTTGAGGAACTGGGCTCGCTCTGCTGAGATTCTTGGTTCATATCTGGGTAGCTACCAGTGATGACACCAAATTTTCAAATTAGTGAGTGGTGTTCCACCAATTATATAAAAAAAAAATCAGTGCACGAAGAAACATATACGGTAGTCGCTTTGCTCTTTCACTGACTGGAGAAGGTGGCACAGCAAACTTGATGAAATCCAAACCATCGATCATCATCACCGTCTATTTCTGTAAATTTCCAACATCCTTATCCATTGCCATCATCATCTTCATCCATCATGATCATAATTATAACCATCCGTCTCCTTTATCATCAATATGATCTTCCATCTTTTTCATCTATCATCATCGAAATAGTGAGCAAGAATGTGTGTGTGTGTGCGTGTGCCGGAGAGAGTGGGGAGCGGTAGTGTAGAGGTTAGCACACTCCACTACAAACCTGGCGATCCGAGTTCGATTCCTGCATATGGTACAACACCAATGACGATTATCTGGACCAGTCCTGGGCCTCCTCTAAGTGCGATGCGTACACATTTGCCACTTGGGAGACAAAGGCGGCCGGGTGTGATTCTTGCCACCCGTTTCCTTGTGTGGCGTGTCGGCCTTCGTAGGTGCTCGCTCACAGCACTTGGCCTAAAAACACGTGGAGGCTATACTGGGGGTGGGATTTTTGTCTATTTTGCAGGAGAGTAAATGAATGTGCGGCAGGTTGAGTGCGGGAGAGCAAGCGTACGTGTGTGTGCAGCATGGGATCGAGGGTTGGGGGGATCACTCAAGATTTGTGAACCTCTTAAATCCGCGGAGCTAAGAGGTCATGTGAATATGGTGGTGGTGTTGCTGCAGGTGGGTACGTGAACCCGCAGCATGTGTGTAGTGTTTTTATTGTGGCCTCCTGTGCGTGGGGTGTCTCCAGGTATTCCGGGCACTCGTAACATTGATTTGATCAAACATCGCATTGTAGGACCCTGCTAAAAATGAGCCTGAGACTCAGAGATACCTTCCTGAATAAATTAATAAATCACATTGTTGACATCGCCATTGTCGTCGTCGTCATCATCAGAAGCTTCAACAGCATGGTAATGATGGTCATCATTTTGGGCCTCTTTATCATCATTGATTATTTTTGCAATGGGAGGGAACTTCTGGCAGTGCCCGTAAGTTCTGCTCCACCATCATCCTATTATCCGTGGGAAAACATAGATGATGGGATGAATCTAATGCCAACTCATTTCTGAAATCTTAACTTTGGAGCTTTCGTGACTGCAGGAATTATTCTTTGGTTCTTTCGGTAAAGTCACGTATAAAGAAAAAATAATAAATTAAATAATAGCATACGACGTTTCGATTGCAACACAAGCAATCATCATCAGGTATAATGAAATAGCGACATAAAATCTAACCTGATGATGATTGCTTGTGTTGCAATCGAAACGTCGTATGCTATTATTTAATTTATTATTTTTTCTTTATACATGACTTTACCGAAAGAACCAAATAATAATCATCTCTGAAAGTTGAATGCCCATAACCTCCCATTGGAGTCGTGTCTTTTCCTCCTGATTGCTCTCTTCCGTGGACCTTGCAAATAATAAGATCAATTTATCAACTGCTTGTGACCACTTCCACATGACTTCTTCTTATCCACGATTTGTCAAGGATAATGGTAAGCGGCGATCTGTGAATAATGAGAGTTTTCACAGATCGACCTTTGGATAATCGGGAGTGCATAACAGGATCACGGATAAGATGTGTTCCTCTATACATGCAAATACATTTACACTGAAGCTATTTACACATCGTATAAAGACCTTGCAGAAGAGCCTTACAAATGCACAATCATTTAGTGCATAGGGTGCCACAAACTCAGGTGTGCTTTATTCAGCCATTAATTTCCTGCACACATATAAGGCCGAGCAGTGGTGCAGTGTTTAGCCCATTGCAGTATGAACCCTGGCAACCTCGGTATGGCTAACATTGGTGGCAAGTCCTGGGCCACCCCTTCATCAACCAATGCTGATCAGTATTGTCGAACAACCTCCATGACCGTAACATTGAGCAGGGGAGGCCTCTGTCCAGAAGTGGATTGATAGAGGGCTCTGTAGATTGTTTTTTTTTATCAACGGTTTCATGTCAAATATTGCTTTTAAGCACACCTTTAGGAGATGTGCTATCAATTGGCGGTTATTTTGAATCCCACACTTTTATGCAGGAATCATGAGACTAAGGGGCCACTACATTTATAGTGAGTTCAGCATGAAAATTTCTACCTTTCATGTCGTGTTCAAAATGTTTGACTCGCCCTGGAATACACCAATATATACCGTACACAAATACGTGCACACGTGGCAATTCAGTTTCTGGTAGCATTTTTAGTGTAGCCCAATGTTATCCCACACGGTTGTATCCATAGTGAAAGGCTTAACCTAGAGATCAATATGCAGGCCATTGTGCAGATCGGCTAAGGATGAATTAAACACAGGCTGACCGAGCTGCGGGGTTTGTTCGCCCCGGCGCAGTTGGCAGAAGCAGTTAAATATCACAAAAGGCATTGCGTGGAACAACGGGCCAGCGATTTGGCGCGGCCTGCTCAGCACAATCAGTGGCTGGGCGGCAGCCATCGCTCTCGGGGACCCTAATGCCTTTCGTCAGCACACGCTCCCGCTGACCCCAGCCAGATTGAGGCCATAGGGCAAAGGATCTTATTTATTATTCAAAGCCTGTTACTGACCCCGGCGGAGCGGGGTGGGGTTGGGGGTTGGAGGGTGCAGGCAACGGATGGTGGAAGCGGGGTGGGCGGTCACTAAATAAGCGGTCAGCGCTGTGAAATGAAAACTGCCAAATAGATTGGTGGTGTGAAGGAAAGAAGGCTGTTGTAGCAAGGGGGGGGCCCCACCACGGCCACCCATTGTTCAAACTGCCCCACCGTGTTTGGGCTAATTCATCATAAAAACCCATTGAGAAAATTGCTGTATTTTATGGTGTAATGCCCGAAAATGGAAAGTGTTTGCCTTTGTCGAGTCGGCCGGGCTCTGGCTTGCAAAGTCAGGCGGGGGGGGCATACACATTGTTACGTTGCAGCTGTATTTTATAGCAACTGTACGCACTGTACAAATAAAATATATATATACTCGCCGCATTGCGAAATTGTCCATGAAATAAGGGATTCTCGATGCCCGCAATTGTACGGCGAAATGCCTAACACGCGTAAAATATCGCCGACAATGATGGAAACAATTTTATTTGATGTGTACTGTAGTTGCGGGTGAAAGGTGAAAAGATGGACTGGGTGATGGCAGCGGCAGTACCCTGTGCGGTACATCTCGGAGCGGTGTGCACGGAGGAGAGCGGTATATCCTTGAAGTGTCCTTTTATGTTTCTACTGGGCAAAGGCACTTTCCTGTCAGCAATTGGCGTTATATAGAGTGAGGGTCTCGTTTTAGCTTTCTGTCCGGGCCGTGCATTACACCCAGACAGGCGAGCGAGTCTATCGAAGGCCGTGCTAATCACTCGTCGGTTAATGCTCCCCGCCACACTGCCGTATTTGCAGACGGTGGGAGAACAACAACAAAAATCGCACAAAAGCAAACATTTTTACGACAAAAAATATATATCTGTCTATTGTTTTCATAGCGACATGCAT